ACATATGTACCACCTGTGCGTGCGTGCAATACCGAACAGCTATGGATAATCGATCAGTACTGCGCAAGATACTGTGCGCACACGACTACGCACAACAAAGGGTACTTAAGAATCACAAACTGTGGCAAACCACTCTATCAGAGCATTCGCCCTCCTGCCACAGAATGAAGAACTATAAAATTAAGCGAATAACTAGGACAAACCAGCTATCACGTACTCACTGCGGACTATCACGAGTCATGCGGCGCATGGCTCGCCTCAGGTCCTGCACATCAACTTCACCAGGCTTGCAGTGAGTCAGTCTCGAAACATGGACAACTTTGACTTCTTTATCACAAATAATCTTAGCCTTTCGAAATAGGCCGTAATCATCGTTAGGAGAAGTCGTCACCAAACCACGCGAGCTGCTGATGAATCCCAGGACTCTCCATCGCTTCTCGCTGAATGGCATATCCATAGTCTTAGTAATAATCTTATCATACTTATTCACTTGACGCATCCTCACTATGGCGCCAGGGAATAATTCATGATATGTACACGACTCGAGCTTTCTCTCAGCATCAGCGACGCACTTGGCAATCAATCGCTGCCATTCAACGTCGGTAGACTCGAGTTTCATCATCTCAGCAGGAATACGCTGGGTAACACTGTGGACCGTGTTATTGTAAGCTCTCATGACCTTGGCAACCGCCGACGCGATATCGAGCTCATTGTCATCCGCCATGACCGACCTTGTCCACATACGCACCGTGCGGTGCAGAGACTCCACCATACCGTTCGACTGACTTGACCTAGGCGCCGTAAAGACACGGGACACTCCAGGTAAGTCACAACTCAGAAAACCGGTCTGGTTGTCGGTCAGTAGAATCTTCGGTCTTTTGCCAAGAATCCGCCAGGATGCCTCAAACGCATCACGAATATGATCAGCGTCCTCGCCCTCCAGCTCGATGAGACAGGCAAACCGACAGACAGCGCATTGTTGACTCAGGTACGCCTTGGGCAAGTAAACAATATCAGCACTCACAACCGAGAATGGCTCAGCTTCAGAGAGGACAGATGAGCTGAATAGACTTATATCATGTTTGATGATGAGTGGCTGAGTACGCCTGTTGCAGATATCACATTTCTGCAACCACGCGGCGGTTTGGTCAATGATACCAGGAAACCACGCTATACTAGTAATAGCCTCAAAGGTTCGCCGCTGGCCCACATGGCACAACAATCCATGTACTGAATGAATGAGCTCTACTCTCATACCCTCGGGAATAACAGGAACACATACTTCCTTACCCTGGTATGGAGCAATGTACCGCCGCCGTAGGATGTCATACTCATCGATCTCGAGTTCTCGGTAGACTTGTTGTAAGTCTAGCTCAACATCTTCAGGTAACAACCGACCATGTTTCAAGGCCCGCCTGGCCTTGAACAGCTCATCATCATCATATTGCCCTTCAACGACTTCACCTAGGTTCAAGAACATCTCATCGTTCAACAAAGGCTCATTGATGGCAGCACCAGCGCACAATGACAGGTCGGCCTCAATATCCATGCTATTATTATCATAGCAAATAGAGTCGATAAGAGAGGTATATTTACTGTCTAATCTACTTAGGATATCACTAGGATTTTGATCAGATGCAACACGGCATACAGTGAAGGACTTGAACGGCTCAGTGATATCAACAATGGCTTGAAGACGACGGCCTACAATGGTAGTCGATAAGCCTCCACGTTTCACCGTTTGGCCACTTTGATAACGCTCTATCCAACTCCTAACGCATTCATTATCAACATGTAGATAAACCGCTCCCGCGATAAACGGGGCTGCCCAAGCTAATGCTCGGGTTGCGGCACACAGTTCAGTCACATTAATGTGCCGCAGAACACCACGCCGATCTAGTAGCCAAGCAGCATCACGGACAAGCACGATCTTTCCATCGTCACGCTCGTAGGAAAGAGTAGCTCCCATAGCCACTGAACTCGCATCAGCATGAATATGCCATGCCTTGGCATCACTTGGGCGGGGACAGTACCATATGCCGCGAGCTGGATCCCCTTCAGAGTTGAACTTCTGTTGAATATAGTGAGCAAGATCCAGGTAAACCGCATCCACCGGTTTATCCCAAGCTAAAGCACTGATCACTCGTAATAGCATACTTACATGAGGTCGTAACCAGCTTGCTACTGGGACCAAGGCAGTCAACTTACCACACCAACCAGCCAGTTCTCTTTTGGTAACCACCTCATCTCCATCAAGATTGATCTCTAGAGACAGATCCTCTCTACGAGCCCATGATATCTCACCACCATCGTTATGGAGACTCAGCCCAAGCACACGACTGTTATTAGCCCCAATGATAATCGTGGGCTTGCAATACATACGCCCATTACCCAATGCGTCTCGAACAGCCGTCACACATGGTGGATCTTCGAGAAGCTGTCCATTTTGATTCACAGCGATAACCACATTAGGGTCAGACTCCTCGATGACCACATCGTCGAGGTATGATGAAATTGGGTAGGGGACTTTCATCAGCAACCATCTGATGGCCGACGTGGCTACCTTCGGCGCAATACATACTCCGAATCCCATAACCACCATGGTGAAGATCTCACCGTTAATCATGACACACAGATATGGCCACAGACTCTCACACATGCGTATACAATAATAGCATTTAATGACATCGAGAGTATAACCACGCCGAACCGAACGCCACTGATGTAAGGTATCAACACAGTTTACGATGTCCCGTACTGGCTCACTCACCAGGTGCTTATTGAGAGCTCTAAAATCTAAGCACATACGGAGTGGAGTAGAAGGCTTATGGGGTTGAGCCACTAGTACCCATGGGAGAATATTACGAACCCTGCCAGCATAAGGTTTCACCCAGCCGTTAGTTATTAACTTATCAGTCTCAGCACGCAAGTTAAGCTCCTCTTGTGCGGTGAGTTTCGGGTTGTAGTCACCTCTGTTAGCCTTGTAGAACGTACCAGGAGGGTCACCTCCACGCCATATCCATCGGCAAGTAAACTGTGGTTCATCGGAACGTTTAGAGAGTACAAAGTCGATGCTGATAATCTCAACGGTGCCATTTGGGTATTCTAGCACGCGTACTCCTGGAATGTCTGGCAAGTTGTACGCCTGTACATCTTCGTCGATGCCACGAGCAGCGGCAGCAGTGACCGCTATGCGGCCACCTTCATCCCAGGTCATACCCTGGCAGTAGAGAGACGCAAAATCAGCTCCCAGTACTAGAGACCCAAATACCATTTTATCAACAACATAACAAGTATGAACCACCTTAACCCATCCATCTTTAGCTAGATACATAACCGGAAGATCCACCTGACCTGTTGTCGTTAGGACACCAACCGCATCCATCATTTTGAGCCGTACAGGGGAAACCTCGTGATGAACTGTAAGACCCAAAGATGAAACAAACTTGGATGATACTAATGAATAGTCAGCCCCTGTGTCAACATCAACGGCATGTTCATGACCGTTGAACTTACAGAGTAAGTGTGGGCGTTTTACATATGCAGAACAACCCCGCCCATCGGCTGCTCTGCTGCACAAAATCCTTCTCAATAGCAGCACCGGCCTTGCTCTGTTGTTTTGCAATCCTTGCAATGTGACCATACTTTGACAAGCATAGCATCGGGGTCCTTTGCCCTTTCCCTTGCCTTTGGGCTTCGAGGTAGGACGTGTCGCTCCGCGCTCTCGACACTCTGCAGCAATATGGCCGGTTGCCTTACAGATATAACAGTATTGACCACCAGTGACAGCACCCGCAGCAAGCTTCTTCTCACCAGAGTAAGTCTTCAGCTGAGCTCGAGCCTTAGCAACAACATCAGCCAAAGGCAACTGGCGCCCATCCTCCTCGAACACCCGGATGGCCTTCTGCACGTCTTCGGGCAGGGTGGCAATCAGGCTTTCACGAAGGATGTTCTCAGCAGCCACTGTGGTAGTAACCCCTAGCACTCTAAGGTAGCGGCGGAATTCAGCTAATACACCATCAACACTATCTTCCTTGTGCCACTCACGGCGAGTCAGACGCTTCCACGCCTCGTGAGTTTTGAGCGAGTACGCTCTATCCAGGGCCCTAACCACATGAGCATAGGCACCAGCTGGATCGCCCTCAACTTCCTCCAGGGCTTGCCTAGCGATCTCTTTGGCCGAGCCCTTCATAAAAAGTACGATATATTGTGACTTTTGCTTAATAGTCCACTTAGAAGCCTCGGCCACCGTCTCGAACTCCTGCAGCCAAAGAGCGAAGTCGTTTTCACCACCAGAATAGGGTTCCAATACAGATTCGAGCTTGAACGGCATGTTGGTCCTGGGTCTGGGCACCAGATGTAGCAATGTGTGTACCGTCAAGCTCACTAGCAACGCTAGTCCACTTAGAGTGGGGTATAACATATGTACCACCTGTGCGTGCGTGCAATACCGAACAGCTATGGATAATCGATCAGTACTGCGCAAGATACTGTGCGCACACGACTACGCACAACAAAGGGTACTTAAGAATCACAAACTGTGGCAAACCACTCTATCAGAGCAGTGCATTCTCTTAACATCCCATATACATAAGAAGTCTGCATTGCGCCTCCCCCGCAACCTTTTAACGGGTGGGTAGGGCAGGGTGAACACTCAGGTATCGTCCCCATATCCCATTCCCGCCTACATTTCAGTCGAACTTTGAACTTGCCCAATGAATTGACCACGTCAACAAAGACATTGTACGTAGATGGCCACGATCGACCTGATGCAGTCGCTGACCGATCCAGGCTGGCGGGGGAGCTTGTCGGGGTGGATGCGGAGCTGATGTGTTCGGAGGACGGGACCCTGAGGTTATGACAATCTGCAGAGGCGGAGTTTGTTCTCGTCTCACAAGATCGAGAAATCTATCCTGCAAAAACCAATCCAGTCGCTTTTGGTCTGATGAGAACTTCAGAAAGCTTCAGGCAAGGCCTGCTGGGAGGAGGGTGATGTCGTCGAACCTCCTATCTGAGGTGTACGGTCTCACCCGCCATCCAGAAATGGCAGAACGTGCTGGCCCGCTCTTAGATGTTGGAATCGATGGTTGTAGCACCACTGACCGGGATCACCGCCGAATGATGACTACTCAGATCCAGAATCTTAACGGGAGCTCTTGGTGTATTTCGCCCAGAGTATTCTTGAAGGTTTCCCATATGCCACTCTCGAACATGTCTGGCCTCAAAACGATAATAATATACTTAACAGATCCTTACCGAGAATTCCACGTGAGATTGGTCGCAGTAGCGACAGAATTAGGGTGGTCGGCAAATAGTTTGTCGAGTGTTGGATTGACTTGGGCATTGCAAGGGCTCGACTTTAACTATAGGCGCCAAGGCACTCATTCTGTCGAGGACCAAAATTGACCTGCTGGGACAAGAAATGGGTCAGAAATTGCAGCCGATAACGAGCCTCTAACCGCGAGCGATGGGAGGACTCGGATCTCAGCAATATCAATCCAGTTTGCCTCCTGGAATTTGCCATCGTTCAGGCCCTGAACTTCAGGGCGCCAATGGTCGTGACAACAGTAGCTGAGTCAGTAGACTGTGGATGGCCTGTCAAGCTGTAGCTGCACGCCGAGGCGATTTCGCTCGCCCATCAGCCATAACCAGGTAGATCACAGTTGTTCATTACACCCCCATTTTTCCTCTTGTAGGCTTACGTTGCGTCCCAGTATAGCACTAGCTGACCGCCGTACCTCAGCTGTTCCACATTTTGCGTCCCAGCGAACGAGAGACGTCCGTAGAAGTGCATCGATTTATTATGGCAGAGGTAGGAGGAATGCGAGAGTGTCACGCCCTCCGCATATTGAATAAACTCAACCACAACACTAAACCAACTCCCCACGACTGCTCATTACATGCCAATATATCAGCAGTGAGATTACCTCACATTCATAATCGATCATCAAGGCGAGCGCTATTCGCACTCACCCCTCAGCCGATATATGCTTTATATTCACGCATAGCTGATCATTACAAGTCTGAAGAGGACACCAACACACTACCAGAATCTACACGGTTGAAACGATTGTAATAACAATTTGCGGCATGTTTTTCGTGGAAACGTAACTAACGAATTTTTACTGCCTAATTAAAACAACATAATTATACCCCATACCAGAAATTCTCCAACTCTTACTCACCATTTTGAATGCCACTTTCGGCAACATCAAAAGTCGTTCAAAACTCTTCGTATTGGCAAACATAAACGCCAACAGTCGATTCACAAACGTTTCGCTCGTCTCCTCCTAACACCATCCGAGAGGTCCCCGGATCGAAACCCACACCCGTCATTTCTACCTCTCCCGGTTTCACAAATCGTATCACCGCTTGTTCCACAGATTTCTCGTCTCGACCCGCCTCCCCATACCAATACACACAACTACTCCCACCCTACACCTCAATGCGATTAGCGCGCGCCCTGGTAATCGATTTACCAATATCGGATCCGAATTTCTATCAACATTTCCTCCTATTGTTCGCAACACTTCGGCAACTTTATCTTCACTTTTAAACATGTCACGTGCACGCGGATGCACATGTTCACTCCAACGCCTGAGATCCGCCAATTTCGTGGCGCGCGAAAGAAATAATTATTTTGATAAAATTCGGTGTAGTCGAACGGAGTTTCACCCGTGATATGAGAAACACTAGTAAAAACACATCACGCTTGAAAGCCGCTATAAAGATCAGTGTTGCGTATATATCCGCTTTTCCGAGAGTTTCCTCACTACATTATGAGGAATTATACACGTTGAAGAGTGTACAAAAACAAACAAAAATTTTCCTGAAATTTTTTCAAAATTCCCATGTTGTCACCAACGAAGTTAACCATATGCATATTTTCCCACACCGGATATCATAAACAGACAATGTTCCAACTTGTTCAATCACCTCATTTTAGTGCACACATATGACTTTCGACTACACATATACGTCTCCTCTGGGTTCTCCCCCCTAAGATGTCTACCACAATGATAATTCTATTGGAGTTTCACAACCCGTTTCACGTGAAGTCATGTAATACTCTGTGGAAAATGCGATATTCGCGCTACACAGTAGTCGTGAAATATGTTTTCACCACAACTTCATATCACGGGTGAAACTCCATTACATAATTTATATTCTACCAATATGATGCATTTGATTATTTGTATTAGTGTCAACCACTACCACGCTTCCCAAAACTACTACTTTACTAAATCGTCGAGCTCTGCTCCTTGTCGAGGGCGATACCCTCCGAGATTCTCCTCAGCGTTTCGGAGATGCCCCCGACTCCGTCTGAAATAATTAACTTTTCCATAAAAACCAAAAAACTCGCAAAAATTTTCCTTTTTTCCCAAAAAAAAATCTTGTATTTTTTCTGTAGATTTCCTGCACATAATCTCCTTTTATTTACCTTCTTTTTCCCCGGAAAATAGAAATCCCATAATATTCATCCCAATACCATTTCCATACAAATAGACAAATAAAATGTATTACCACCATTCGAGTACATTTATTCATGTATTCAACATCAAGTGTTCAACGCATCTACTATGAACCTCCATATTACTATTAATCTCAGTGTAGTTGATGTTAAGATGCTGCTGATAACTCTATAACGGAATTCCACCCTAGTGATACGGAAAATATATTTCACGACTACTGAATATCGCGTTTTTCACAGAGTATTACACCACTTCGCGTAAAACGGGTTGTGAAACAGGTTCACTGAAATTCCAATGGGCATTCAGAATATAATATTGATATCAAGGATGATATAATTAATACCATCACAACACCACTTTTGTCGATGAAGATTAACATAAACTCTTTCCGGCTCCAATTTCCAAGAATATCAATCCTCGCGCAAATCGAAATCGACCGGACATGTCGAATTAAAAACAATTACGAACATGAATTCGGGTTTGAAATTTAAAATGAACTCCCATATGATCAGTCCACTCCCCCTTTCCCCATAATATTACTACCTCCCTCTGTGTCGGTTCCCATGAGTGCCGAAGATAGCACCAAAGGGATCTTCAACACATTGTCGGCATCGAAACATTATTAGAAAAAACTACAGCAGCTTTATAAAAAAATTTCACGACTCGATAAAATGAGATTTCATTTCCATCCTTTCTACAGCAATTATTGAGGATTGACGAGCCCGGTCTTGCTTTGTTCGTGCGTGCAGTCCTGTGTACGTGCGTGCCCCGCAATTGATGGTGTTTTTTCCCTGAGCCATTATATTAAATGACATTGATACGCTCAATCTCAGTTTCACAACCGTAAACTTGTCTACTCGTTGTTAATATGGCGACACCTGAGGAGCTCGCTGAGCTCTCTGAAGCCCGTAGAGAGTTGGCCGCTACGCGCCGTTCCCTCCGGGATACTCGCGAGGCTCTCAACAACATCATCTCCGACGAGAAGGATGATACTCAGCAGCTTATGAGCGACCTCGCGTCCAAGGAGGCCAGTAATCTTTCTAAGATAGGTAGCCTCGAGGCCCGTATTGCTGAACTTGAGGCCCTGGCTGACCGATCCGTCAGCGAGATATCACGGAAGGAAGGTTTCAGTCGACTCTCTCCACGGTCCGAGGAGGAGGAGCATGAGGTGTATACCACTCCGAAGTCACGCTCCTCACGATGCCCGGCAGCGACAGTGACTAAGTTATGTCTGCCTCAACTCTGTGAAGCAACAGATCTCCAATCGCACTATCATGCTATTGAACACACCTTCGTTGAAGCAGGAGCCGCTGAGTATCACCAGCAAGGACATTTGCTAGTGCACGAGGAGGTCAAAGTATCTGTCATGACCAAATTCCTTTCCTCTCTGAGTAATGTCCGACCGGTCCATAAGAAGGCCACTGTAGCGTCACGTACCCACTCACAGGATTGGAATTTGGTCCGCAATGTCCTTCTGACGAGGTATTGCCGCAGATCAGTGTTGAAGGAGACCTACGAGGAGAAGTTACGCAATCTCACATTTACAGGGGTTAAGCAGATCGAGGATTTCCTGGAGTCCGCCGCCGATATCTACCATCTAT